GAGAGAGAGAGAGAGAGAGAGAGAGAGAGAGAGAGAGAGAGAGAGAGAATATGAATCCCAAGAATACAGAACAAAACTGGGGCTTTAGCTCAGTGGTAGAGCACTTACCTAGTATTGTGAGATCATGGATTCAGACTCTAGATTGGAAAAGGAAATGGCCTCCTACTCCTACTCACCTCCCAACACACACACACACACACACACACACTTGCTTCTCCAGTGAAGGTACAGAAGAAAATAAAAGAATTTGTAATAAAGGTTTGAAATTAAAATGATATTACAAGGCACAGACCATATTGGGATGGGGTCAGGGTGTAAGCCTGTTTACATGAGTCAGGGGGAAAATGAAAAGTAGCCCACTTATCAGGAGCAGAGAGAATTCTAGGTAGGGACAGATGGACCAATCCTGGAGAACAACAGGATTGCATCTGAGATAGAGAAACAAGAAGCACCTCAGCCTATGATCTCTAAGATCATGTGACAGTTTGGGGCTCCATGAAAACCAGCTGATGAAGTTCACTCACAGAAGTGGCTCACAATCCAGAGGATGTGTTACAGTCACTTTGGCTCTTGGTGGACTAGGACTGGGTGAGCTCCTCAGTCAAGATAGTTATAACTCAGCCTAGGCTGGTGATAAAAGATGTGGGGTCAACATGGGAGGAAACTGGCGGGGCTACAACTAAACAGATTCCAACAAGGAAGATTGAATGAACGAGGTCACATGTAGGCGACTTAGTTCAGCCCACAAAAGGTTACCAACCATCCTAACTGACCTCATTATGATCAACATGAGGAGAAAAGCAGACACCAAGGCAAGTACAGAGTGATAGGCTTGTGTGAATCCCCAGTGAGTACCTATGATAATACTTCTAAGATGTTCTAAACTTAATGACCAGATTCTGAAGCTACCTACAAGGGATGAGAAATGAGGTCAGTCTGTTACCAAACTATAGGCTGCCATGGAAAAACCAATTCACATTTTATAATGTATGTTAAAATCTTAACTCTGTTTCTTGGTGCTTCTGTATCCTGTTTACAAACAACCAGTCCAGAAGCAATGATGTCTTCTCTGTGCCCCACTGCTAGGCCAGAGCGTTCTCTGTTGTGCATCATCCCACCCTATAGCCAATGTAGAACCAATGTATGGAAACAATTTATTCCATGTCTACACATATGCATATACATATACATATACATGTTAGGGATATAGTTCAGTGGTAGAACATTACACTATCATGTATAAAGCCCTGGATTCCATTGCCCAACACAGTAAAATATAGTAATAATAAGAAAAATAATCATCAGCAGCAATACATAAAGGACAATGGAAATCAGTATCTGTTATTGAACGCCTAATGCCTATAACAGATCCCATCAGCCACATCAACCTTGCCTCACATCAAGGGAACTGCTCTCTGGAGGTCAGTGGTTTACCCAGTGAAGCAGGGTTTCAGAAGTAGGAGAGAGGTGTTTGCCCTTGGATGGAAAATGACCCCACAGGGCTGCATTCTGTTTTACAACAGGGTGTAAGAACAATAGCCATGCAAAGCAGTTTTTGTCTGCAGATGTGCATTGACCCAGTCTCCAGAGAGAGACTCCCCTCCCTGGAAAAGCCAGTTTTGCCTCTTCTACATATCAGGTGACATTCCTGGATTCTAAATAAACTTGTGCATCCAGGCTCCTTTGAACCTGTTAGAACAACTAACTGCCTAGTTCCCTCCCTGAATTACAAGCTTAAACAAAGCTTTTAATACTTGTTTGCTTTATATGATTTTACTCTTTAAAAAGCTATTCCTTTACAATGAAAAGGGAGAGCAAGCCATGATTTGTTCTATGAGAGCCTCTCTGCAGAATGCTGCTAGCCAAACTTGACCTGCTTGCCTCTGAAGTTTATTTTCTGTTTGGCAGAGTTGTTTCTTAGATGCTGATTTTTCTGCTTCAAACCAGTTCTCTCAATTGGCTTCCTTTACCCAGGTCCCCATTCCTACCTTCTGACATATTGGATCCAGAGTAAGGGATTTTATCCCCTTAGTGCAGAGGTTCTAATAGAAATGTAAGGAGAAGCCTACATGTCTTAAATGAACTGAGCCCCCCTTAACCAGTCATTGTGAAGATAAATGAAATACCACAGAGCACAGCATTTTGTTGGGAGCCGACTCCTAGCAGAAAGTGGCTATCCTCTTTGCACCCATCTCAAGCCATATACCCTGACAAGAGATTTGTTTTTTAACAGCCCACAACAGCTGAGCACACTCTGATAAACATCTTGTTTTTCTCACATATCCTGTTTTGTTGTTTAGTGCCCCCAGCTGCAAGGCACACGTGGTATCCACACTGCAAGGCACGTGACATAGTGCCTTTAGCTGTGTTCCCCTGCTTGTCCACGGCTGCAAGGCATGTGGTAAAGCGTATAACTACCCAGGATTTCCTTTCAATAAAGGGGACTTGAACAGACTGTCTTGTCTCCATTCTTTGCATCTCTTGCCCCTCCATCTCTACTGTCTCTCTTACTAGACCCTGTTGACTGACCCACAGATCAGAGCACTTGGCCCCCAAACGTGGGGCAGCATGGAACAGCACGGGCTGGTACAGCATTTCAGTTCTAGAACTTATTGGGGTTTCTTTGCTTGGTGTTTGTTTACATTTTTTGTTTTCAGAAAGAGACTTCTTGTCTCAATTTCATCCTTTCAATAAAGCAAGTGCCAGCTGAGGCATACAACCCCATCCTTGCCAGTGTGATGTCCATCACAGAGGAGAAATGACGGGAAAAAAAAGCCATGTTTGCCAGGAAGCTGTCAATCAAGGACAGGATGTAGCACAGGCAGCTGTCGAGAGAGTGCCTGTGCCATGAGTGATCAGGGAGACTTCCTGTCAGGCAGGGGACATGACAGGAGACAGTCAGGCACAAGGAGATAGCGCTTCAGTGGCAAGACTGAAGGTGGAGAAAGGTCAAGGG